CTTATACAAAAATTGGATATCTAAGACTTAATTATCAATCAGTATACATCCAACATCAAATGGATTTAGTGTAAAGACGTCATCAACAGTCACAGAAAAACATGACCTTGTGCAATGCCAAACTATAGGTATCGACAGATTGTAGTACCGTTAAAATACATATTTGTAATATTTAGCATGGTTTTAATTTACTGATAACAAAATTAATATTTATACCAATAAAACAATATTCAAAGATTTAATTACAATGTTGAATAGGTAACCTTTTAGAATAAGTTCATTTAAAGGATTTATAAGTTTACCAGGATCGTATCTAAATTTCCGGACTCGGTTTACAGCATCACCGTAAAACTTCATGCTAGACACAAAACTGAAAAGTAATATATAATCCTACTACCTTCTCATATCTTTCATTTCAACACTTCATGCTAGACACAAAACTGAAAAGTAATATATAGTCCTACTACCTTCTCATATCTTTCATTTCAACACTTCATGCTAGACACAAAACTGAAAAGTAATATATAATCCTACTACCTTCTCATATCTTTCATTTCAACACTTCATGCTAGACACAAAACTGAAAAATAATATGTAATCTCTGAAACTAACCTTTCTAAAGACATGTTATTAGGTTATCATTTAGAAATGTTTTATTAATCCTGCTGGCTAACTATTTCTAAATATCAGGTTAAATGGTACAATTCACGGACAATTCGAACATTTAAAATCAGTTTCCTCGTTAAATATAAGCTGATTATGCGATATATGTCATCGTTATGGGTTTCGCTGTATGCTGACAATTCTTCATCTTATATAATAGATATATCTTTTTTATCTGAAGTAAACTAAGGAAGAAAACAAAATGCCGCGGATTATCTCCAACTATAATTTAGAAAAAAAACATTTTCAAACAAAATATTTTCCTTTTTCCTCATAAGCCAGTTTTGAGGTTTAAAATTTAAGCACATTAGGAGTTTAGCCATATCTCCTTATTTTTGTAATAAGATATTAAAATATGTAGATGTAATATTAAAACTCAAATGTAGGAGGTACCTAGATTTGTAACTTCCGGCATAGGTCATTGTCATTAAAATGTTTAAATTAAATGTACATGATTTGACATAGATAGAGGCATCGGGTCTTTTGCATCAGGATAAAAAATACTATGGAAGATGTTCTATGAGAACATCAGTTTGTAACATATAAGGAATGAAAGAAATGTTCTTATACCGCAGGGGACATTATAAAGACAAAAGCAAATGGCCAACTTTTACTTTAAATGTATTGAAGTCCCTAGAACGAATAAATATTCATTACGACATAGAAAGTGACTTTATATGAAGTGTAAAAAAACATATGTACTACTTTTCAGATAGAAGTACCAAAAATTCCATTATTGGTAATTCATTGCTATTTGCCATCATTTGACAATAATATATTCCTTATCTAATTAATGATATGAGTTTATCACAAATTTTTAATTCGATGTAATATATCATTTTGATTTTACTATTTCAATTCATTTATACAAAATAAACGTTCTCTAAACAATAAGTGTGTAAGTATAAATTTAATATATTTTCAATTTGTATAAACTTCTATTTTTTAATGTAAAAATTCGAGTCGATATAATAAATTATTTGACTTTTGTAAGTCAGTTGCTGTGTTTGTTTCTAATCTTTGTCATTTGTTAATAATTTATTATAGCTAATGTGTCTGTACGAACAGACGGTTCAGGAATGAACCGTACAACATAGTTTAAACTCACCAAATATATCAGGCTTATCTGTTTGTACAGTAGACACACGTTTTGTCTATATAAGACGCAGCAGTGACGCTCGAAGCAAAACAGTTGGAAGGCCAAATCGAGTATTAAGTTGGAGGGCATTAAAAAACCAAAAATTCCAAAAACAAGGTTGTCAAATGCGAAAATGTCTGTGGTAGAAAAATCTTAATGTTTCGAATAATTCAACATTTTATTGGCTTTGAACTAGCTATCAGTAACTGCATGTACTCGTATTTCGGTGTTTTGTGTCTACTGTTTTTATGTTATTTGTTTTGCGCCTCGTAATGATCTTTTGAGTTAAGCTAATTGCAACTGATTTTTACAGTTTGTTCAGTTAAACCACTGTCCCATGTTTGGGGAGAGTTGAGCGCTCACAAACATGTTTAACCCCGTTACATTATGTATGTGCCTGTCCCAAGTCATCAGCCTGTAGTACAGGGGGTGTCTTAGATTCATGTCCGTCATATTTGTTTTCGTAAATTGTTTTTTTTTTTCATAAATTAAGCAGTTCATTATTACAACTGCATTTGAACGTTGCTCGATAGTTGTCTCATCGATAATCATTCCATGGCTCCTCTTTTCTATATATCAATGATATTTTATGCCAGCATGAAAGTTCTAACTACGGGGTTGGTGATACCCTTGAGAAAAAGTCAAAAAAACAAACATACTGAACTCCATGCAAAATCAAAAGCCCTAACACATCCAACGAATTGAAAACAACTGTCATATTCCTGACTTGGTATGGGCATTTCCTTATGTAGAAAATGCTTTGCATTCATGTCAAGTATTTCACCGTCTCAATTCTTTTATACGGCAGAATTTTATTTTTTTAAGTTTTTACTGTTCAACACGATTCGAAATTGTACTATACTTTGATTGATGTATGAAATCAAAAATTTGATAAAGGATTGTAAACTATTATTTTTGTGTTTTGCATTCTTTTCAAGTGTTTAGCATTCTCAATTCTTTTTACGATTTAAGTTAAATGAACAGTAAAACGAGAGATAACCTATACCAACTTATAAGGATTTTCTACCCCAGGAATGTATTACTTTGGCTGTATTTGGCTAACCATGATGTATTGTGGGTCCTAAATGCTCTGACTTTGTATATTATTTGGTTTTTTTTACTTATTTAATTTGAGCGTCACTGATGAATCTTTTCTTGACAAAATGTGTCTGTCATACAAACTTTTATGCCTGATTTCTATGATGAGTCTATACATATTCAGTTTGAAAGTTAAAAGCTTTGACAAATAAATTTGTGGCCTACTCTTTGGTCGGGTTGTTGTCTCTTTGACATATTCCCCATTTCTATTCTCAATTTTAGAGTGACAAATAATAATATACACCTTGTACTATTCACGATGTGGCTTACATTTATGGTCAATTTCCTATCCAAAACACTTTCAGTATTCATCACGTTCATATAACAGGTTTCTATATCAAAGTAAAAGGGATTATGTTCTTATATCTGATAACTTTATAGTGATATTTAGATGATATGATATCTATAACGTAGAAGACGTATAAAAGTTAATTAACTATTTGATAAAATTTCTGATGCAACTAGTTCTTTAAACCTTTCAAATTATGGTTATAAAAGAACAATGATATAGTCTGGCAGTCTTAGTGTACAAAAGTAATTTAAGATGTCGCTGTTACACGTCAAATTTATCAAGTAAAATTGAGAATGGAAATGGAAAATATGTCAAAGATACAACAACCCGACCAAAGAGCAGACAACAGCCGAAGGCCACCAATGGGTCTTCAATGCAGCGAGAAAATCCCGCACCCAGAGGTGGTCCTCAGCTGACCCGTAAATAAAATTGTGTGCTATTTTAGTGAAAATGGACGTCACACTAAACTCAATAACATATAAATGAACTAAAATTAAAACACATACAAGACTAACAAAGGCCAGAGGCTCCTGACTTGGGACAGGCGCAAAAAAGCGGCGGGGTTTTTATGTTTTGTGAGATCTCAACCCTCTCCCTATACCTCTAGTCAATGAAGAAAAAAGAAACACAAAGCAATACGCACAGTAAAACTCAGTTTAAAAGAAGTCCAAGTCCGATGTCAGAATAGGTAACAAAAGAAACTAAGAAAATGACAATGATACATAAATGAACAAAGGACTACTAGCAGTTACTGACATTAAAAACCATAAACATGTCAAAACGAAAAAAGTTATTGTATTTACCTACAAAGTGATTCAGTTTGAGTGCAGTTTGATCGTTAAAGTCTATGTTTGTACGGATGTGCACCTCTTATATTGCGTTTGATTTCTCGCTTTCATGAAGAGTCCTCTGAATGTTTCTTATTTTCTAGACCATATCAACATTAAAATCCTGAGCAATGATTTGTCTCTGCTATGTTGCTTTGAATATTAAGCCATGTTAAATAACGTTAAAATCCTTACAGACAACGGTATATTACTGGGTCTGCCATGTTGTATAAATATCTTTGATAACTCACTGAATCATTACTAACATTGATATACTTAAATCATAACTATACAGTTAGTAATACTTATCGTCCTACATTCTGTCGGAACACTTTCTATAGACTATTTGTTCCATCTTTACAATGAATTAATCGGATATTTCAATCATGGGACATATGATTCATATATTAATTGCAATTGGTCTAAACAGTCTTGCAGCTTTTGTGAACGCTCGTAGATGGTTAATTGGTGTCTGTTGTGCTTATGTTAGTTCAGTGTTCATGTACTTTATGTCGATCTGATGCGTCAACCTTTTGAATCGACTTTGAAAATATTTCTTGCGTTCTTCTTTCATGCAACTGTTCCATATAAGGGTACAGTGAGTGCTATCAATCATACGTAGCCCAGCGACATTATGTATTTTGTAATACGAAGGCATTTTATAGATACGGTAAGGGTTTGGGTCAATCTCGAAGACTGTATGGTGATGTGTAATTGTTGAACATTCCTTGGTCTCTGGTTGATAGTTGTCCTCCATCTGTCTACCATTAAGCAGTTCCTGGATAGTTTACCTATTCTATTTGTGTGCTAATTATTGTACATTTTATAATGCTCCTTCACTTAAATGATTTGTTTACTATTAAACTTTTCATGGATAGAATATTTAAAATGTCAACCATTTAATATTTTGTATGTCTTCTATTAAATAAAATAAAATTCAACAAAAGCAAACACTGCAGATCCGATTAATATTAACGACGAAAGAGTACAGATTTACATTATAATCTTGATTTTTATGAAACAGAAATATTTTACAAAACAGAATAACAAAAAGAAAAATGTGTTTAATTCAGTTCGTTATTGGAGAAAATGGATATTTTCAAAAGCAGAAATCATCACACCGTATTGTTGATCACAACCACGTGAGTGGAGTATTATATTTTGAATTACGGGTACATCTGGTGAATATTGGTTGTTGTTGCGTTGCATTACTATTTGAGTACGTGAATAACATACGCACTTCTCGCCGGAAGTATGCACCAGTTATACTATATAAGAAGAAATTGACACAGTAGTTCATGTAAAATATCGTACGGGCGATGTAAAGTAAACCTCTCCAGTACTGTAAATTAGCATCAGATGCATTGTCCACATATCTAGATACATATTTAGAATTTAGAAAGTTTCTACACCATAAAACAAAGTATGGTGTATTAAAGGCAATAAAGCAAACGGATATAGCTAATAGGATAATTGTAAACTCAAGTCGTATTACACTTTCTTCAGTAATAACTCTACAGGCTTTTTGTCGTTTGTTTCTGATAAACAGCTTCCTCATTATCAAAATGTTCAACACTGTTATTACAATAAATGGAACTAGTGTTATTAGAATCGCAAAAATGCTATCAAGAACAAAAGCTGCAAAACCATGCTCCTTGCTTCCAGTGCAATATGGCGTTCCCACACTACTTTTATAAACGCCACTTAAAACAGGTTTATATATCACAATTACTACTGCAATAAGGAATATACTGGATACAATTTGCTTTGTGCTTTTAGAACTGCAGATATATCGTCTTTGTAACGGATGACACACACCAATGTAACGTTCAACTGTAAAAGCTACAATTATCCAAGCTGATAAAAAACGTGATACATATGACAGATAAATTTGTAGCTGACACATGCCATTTACATCTAAAAAATATATTTTTGCTTCTGGTACTAAATACGCAAGCCCTCTTCTTAGCCATTCAACTGTGACATAGAATATCAGTACTGAAAGGTCTGATGCTGATAATGTAGCTAGATATGTACTAGCTGACAAACAACGCATACTCCGCGATATGAAAACATTTAGAGATAATGAATTTCCTAAAATTCCTATCAACAGTATAACCGGGGTAAAATATGCATAGAAATTGCGCCCAGTATTGTATATTTCTGAAATGACACCGTCGTTCATCAAAGCACATTTTGTTTGATTTATATCATTGTTTAAAAAGTTAAACAGTTTGTCATAGACACTAATCCCACCACATATCGCTGTTGATTCGTTTACCTGCAAATTAATTAAAATATGGCACATATGTACTATTAGTATTTGTCATTTATGAATCACCAATTTTTTTTATTTTTTTTTTATTTTTTTATTTTTTTGCCTTTTATGTTGTCAATTGTACGTGTTTTCATGAAATATCTTGAACAGAATATAAATTTAAATCTACAAATGTAACTTAATCAGGGTGATTTTTACATCCGTATATCGATTTGAAAGAGGCAAATAAAACAAAATAAAAACAACACTTATAAATTGTATGTGTCCGAAGATTGTCTGGAATGACTTTCTTTTTCTTTTTTAGCCATGGCTTTGTCAATATATTTTCGATTTATGAGTTTGACTGTCCCTCTAGTATCTTTCGCCCCTCTTTCATCAGGAACGCTTAAGGCCGAATATTTGAAAGCAAAGATGTAAATTAACCAAAACCGTTAAACTATATAACCAAAAAGGGCCTACAAATTATTTAATATGAGCTCTGAATGCTCCATTGCTAAATTTTAACTTTTTTTAATAATAAACAGATTTGTTATGAGGAATAAGGCCTAAAATCGACACTTTGTAAGTTTTGCGGTCACCATTGCGAATTGGTTCTCCGATACGATGTGTCAGTGTCTCAACTTACTAGCGACATATTTGCGCGGTATGAGAACTGTAGATATAACTAAAGTCGTCTGATTTGTTATTGTATCGTTGTAACCTATTTTCGATTGTGATCTTTTTACTGAATGTGAATGCGCATGGCGATGTAAGTATAGCAGGAGGTTTCCTTCCTTGTTGTGCTGTAAATTGCAATGCCCTCATTTTCTGTTATTAACCTTGACTTGTCTCTGTCCGTGTTGAGTTAAAGCGATAACCACAATTTTTGTTTTTGTCTTGATTTAAACAACGATCATTTAAAAGACAATAAACATACATGTGAACGAATACAAGTCACTGCACTGTTTTCAAAAACGAGCGTTACACGTGTCTACAGTAAGTCCACAGAAAACAAATTGAAAAAATTCATAAAAGAATATGTGCCGTCTTCAGAATATATTAATAGCGATTCTGACTGACTAAATTATAAATTTAGGTTCTTTGATTTTCTTCTATTTTTCACCAAACTTTTTTTTAATGACATGTACATTATTTGTCAATAGATTATTTTCCCTTGTCATTCTATAATATTTTACTTACACCTTGTGTAAATGATTCCATCTGATTAAGTATTTTGATTAAGTCTTCTTTTCAAAATCACATTCTACTAATGTATCTGAAATATAAACGGTAAGCATAAGGAATAACAACTGTAGCATCAACATGATCAAGGTTAAAATGAAAATATGCTTGACGACTTCATTGGCAAATACAACAAACTTAACCATTATTGTTCATCATAAGTCCTATGATTCATTTAGACAATAAACTAGTTTAGGTACATTGATCAAAACATGTACAAAATGCGTTAACACAAATACCAATATTCAAGGTAAATTTGAATAGGGGGACGTCCATGAAGCCTGACAAAACCAAGTGCTCGACCATATCAATTAACAGAATAACTAGAAACAGCTGTCATATTTCTGACTTATTACAGACAATTTCTAAAGAAAATGTTGGGTTGAACAAGGTTTTAAACATCTGATAGATAAACCCCCTTTGTATGACATTTGATCGGATATTTTGACATAATTGACCGAATATAACCCCACGAGAATAACTGGTTAACATGACAATAATTGTCATCTAGCAGCCAAAATTGTGTTAACATTCATCACAGAAACACTATACAACTGGCTTCAAATATAAACAAACATACACATAAAGCTGACAAAGACGTCAACAAAAACGATTTTGTAGTTACTAATGCATGCACCTAATGATTTAATGTACTTAGGAAATAAAGGCAACAGTAGTATGCCGCTGTTCAATAGTCATAATTCGATTAAGCAAAAACAAATCCGGTTAACAAACTAATACCGAGGGAAACACATCAACTTTAAGTTAAAAGGAAAACAACGGAACAACCGAAACATTGAACTACAACAAAAGCAAACGCGGTTTACATGTTGTAATGTACTATTATATTATTTATTTATGTATTTCTCTGTGCTGAGTGTTCTTGCGTTTGTTTGTGCTGTATTTCTGTCACGTAGTGTTGTCATTTTAGCGATACTTTTCAACATTGCCATATAAGCAGGATGTTCGGCTAGCCATAAAACCAGGTTCAACCCACCATTTTTTCTTCAAATGTCCTGTACCAAGTCAGGAATATGGCAGTTGTTATCAAATAGTTCGTTTCTATGTATGTTGGCGTTTGTTTTTGTTGCACTTCTGTGTTTCTGTTGTTCCGTTGTTTTCCACCTATAGTTGATGTGTTTACCTCGGTTTTAGTTTGTAACAAGGATTTGTTTTCTCTCAATCGATTTATGACATTTGAACAGCGGTATACTACTGTTGCCTTTATTTATACAGATAAATCTGACAAAGACGCCTAACAAACACAAATATTTTTTTGTTGATAGAATAATATATCAAAACATAATGAGACATGCACAAAAGTCATCAGTGACGCACAAATCAAAAACATCAAAATGCCAAACCAAATACGAAAAAGAGAGACGAAAGATACCAAAGGATATTCAAATTCATAGGTTGAAAATAATCTGACAACGCCATGGCAAAACAAAAGACCAAAAGACGAACAACAGTATACAAAACTCAACATAGAACACTAAATACTGACTAAAAAAAAGGTTGACAAATATTTAAATCTGCAGACTAGGTCAAAATAATAAAGTGATTATTCTATAGATAAGGTGCCAAAAGTTTACCGATATTCAAAGATCCCGTATGTGAATTAATGGGAGACAAATCAAGTCAGCAGACAAAAACTGAGGAAATCGCATGGACTCAAAAAAAGAGCAAGACTGGGTATGTCGACAAGGTAAGCGTCTCTTGTTATGCAGGCATCATCCGAATGCGAATACACACTTAGTCAAAATGTCTCAATCGGGAATAGGACACAATCACTTAAACTGTTGATCAGACAATTCTTCTGGCGTCTAAAGATCTATGACTGCGAAAACATGTCGTTAATGAGTTAAGACACCACAACATCTATAGCTATAAACTGCAATATAAGGTTTTATTAATCAATAATGATATTCGACGAAGGCATATCGACGTATCTAGGAATTTCATATATAAACATGAACCGTTATAGTGGTATCATAAATTACATTCTAAGGAACCACGATAAAGTTGTAAAGACCGAGAAGAGATATAACTATAGACCAAGGAACTGCTATCAATTAACCGACTAAAGTATTAAACATCTATAAAAAACAAATGTTAATGAGTTGTAATGATTGAAATTCTAAGGTAACAAGCAAAAGTCTAAAGTATTAAACATCTATAAAAATCAAATGTTAATGAGTTATTATGATTGAAATTCTAAGGTAACAAGCAAAAGTCTAATTTCAATTGATAAATAGTAGAACAAGAATCAATATGACACATTATAATGAAACTTGCCATGGTATTTACTATTTAGCATAGAAGCAATGCATGGGAGACCAACAAAAATATAAAATAGTGAATGGAAATGACACTGTGTAAAATTAATGAGCACGACCATTCTCTTAATTTATCTTCTCGATGAACACTCAAACAATCAGATATTGAAACCCTAGGAAGTATAAGTACTTACAAACGTTTGGCCATGTATGAATAAAAGGATACCACTGTCCCAGGTTAGGGATTAGAGACTGTAATTGAGTGGTTTTCGTTTGTTTGTCCTTGTGTTGTTCGGTTGTAAAACTATCTTAGATTTAGGGGGAACCCGTTAACATGTTTAACCCCACCATAGTCTTTGTGTGCTTGTAATTCATTGATGGTAGTTCGTTGTGCGCTTATCATTTTGTTCTTCGTTTATGCTTTGTATATTATTCAGGCCGTCCTTTTTTTCTTTTTTTTTACTTTTTTTTTTTTTTTTTTTATGTTACAACTGATTCAGTATAGTTAATGTTGATAACTTCTACGTCGTTTAGTCACAGGTGAAGAGTTGTCTAATTGCCAATTATAACATATCTTCTTATTTCAATATTGAAACAAATAGACAATTCCATCTCAGGTCACTTTTGTCTTCGGAGATGGATCGTAAGGGTTTTTTTTTCAATTTCTTAATCAATAAACGGAGAACTCAAGAAAAGTATATTATAAATTAAGTCACTAGCGATTCAGACTATCAATCATCAAGCAGCGGTATCGACTAGAACAAGAAATTGATATTGCATTTTATAAATTTAGTGCGTGCTGTATCTTATAGTTGTTCATTTAAAATGGACAAAATTCTCAGGAAAAGTTTTGAAGTGTTTAAATATGCATCTTTGAACAGCTTGGATATTAATGAGTTAACATTCACGAAATTCTAAGACAACCTGCCAGCTTTTATCGAAGACTTGTATCTATGAGTACGATAACTCTTATGAAATAATGTTTAATTCTTTCTGCTGTAAATTCAAATTAAAGGGAAATGTAAGGGCACAATTACATCATTGTTGACAACTTTGTATATTTATTTCCGTAATCTGATGAATTTAATGAGACTTTTGAGAATCAGAAGTTATGTTATTGGCATCCCATACAGCTACCACATAACATCATAGCGTGACTTTATCAATAAAGTAAAGTTAATGTTTTTCGAGACAATAATATACTGCTTAAGAGCACAAATATTTCGTAATGAAAAATTGGAAATATCATAAATTGGCGTCAGATTGTTATCACCAAACACACTTATATAGCTGTGCATTGTATCAATAATAATCATAACCACATTTATTAAAATTTGTGTACCAGCTGGATATACGACATAATATGGTCGTGAAGAAGATATTGAGAACAATAAAGAATCAAATAGTCACAAAAACAATGAAAATCCACGGAATCGTTTTATGATTATTTTGACAATAACATTTTGTATAACACATTTGTTTATATTCTCTATGGCAATTTCTTTTATCTTTTTTAACGTAGTTTTTTAAGCATGATTAAAAAGAAATATCAAACTGGTCGAATCAATAATACCAGAAATGACAGTTATAGTATAGTAAAATGATTTTTATTGTAAATTAACTGGTTATAGTGAGCATTTCAGAACTAGTAAATTATCATTAATGGTAATGGAAATGTTGAAAGTTTTAAATTGTGTAAAATAACTTTTATAATCAAAAGTAAGGATTGAATGAATCTAAATTTCAAATTTATGGTTAAAATCCTTTTGTGGATTAGTTAGCATTTTGTCGGAAAGCAACAAAATTTATAACGGTAGAGAAACAAACAGTTACTATCTATAAAGTACTAATGAAGTAAGTAAAGCCTATATCAAAATTAGATAAGTATTTTTTGGCGTTTACCTTCAATTGTACCTAGTAGAAAAAGGATAATTTGACTTAGTGAAACATCAAAGCTTTGCTAATGTCTATACAATGTTCACGAGGCGTAAAAACTTATCAAAGATATCAGGTTTATAATTTGATTTTCTACGCATGCGTTTCATCTACATTTAACTCACCAATGGCATTCGAATCAAGATAGGCTAAAGCAAATACACTGTTAACATTGAAAATCAAACAATTCCAACAGTTT